CGGGTTTGTGGGGGGGGGGGGTTCGGTGGAGTTTGTCTGTATCTTTTTTGAACCACTATGTCACAGAAATATCTAGTTCTTTGGTCCATGGTGCCATGCCTGCTCTCGGACGGTAATTTGAGCAGCTTGGAGATGCAACAGATTCACCGTTTCGCGTTGGACTTCGTCGGAGAAATGAAGGTAAATGTAGGAAGCACCACAATTTGATACCATTCCGCGTCTTCATTCAAAATACAACTTCAACCGGAGGAGTTTATGACGGACTCCTTCTCTTTTTCAACATAATCCGAGACAACTTCTAGAGTGCAGCCCAGCCCCACGTTTATTCCAGGTTGACTGACCAACTTGTGTGTCCTATTACGCCACTACATTGGTTTCGCCGGTAGTTGAGTTAACAATATTCCATAGCGCCTTTTGATCGTAACTCGGTGTCGTGAGAACTTATCATCTGGAGAAAATCTAGCTGCAGAATACACAATGTTTTTAAACCAAATGGTAAAGACTGTCAACCTCATGAGACGCGAACCTGGGTGAGCAGACTTGGTAATTTTTCCCGAGTCTGTGATTTTCTGTGGCCGATAGGTCAGCCAGAATTGCCAGCTCCATTTGACGTGCCAAATACCTTGAGGGTATATACTCTGCTGCCATTTTCATCGAGAGTATACATAAGATGCATGGCGGTTCGAATGCAAGACGACCTGCGGCTTAGAAGTTTCACTTTGGGTGCAAAAAAGGATTAGATAGTAAAAATACACAATCTGCCTGTACGTTATCTGCCTTCTACCTACAACCAGTAACCCCAACTTAGTAGCTATATGCGTCTATTGGGTATTTAAGCTACCCCGTCAGCCGTTTGCTAAGCTATATGCCAAATAAGCATTGACCGTGGCGAACATTCTCCGAGTCGCTCTCACGTTTCCTCCTCCCTCTACCTCGAGTCTCTCAACCTTGCGGTCTGCACGCTCTGACGTGCTTGACACAAGCATGGAGCGTCGCGGTCAACGTCCGCCGCGTTCAGTACGGCCTCCCCAGCCTCAGTCACCGCTCTCCGACTCCGAGCAGCCATCTTTGCTGTACCAGCCGCGACCGACCGAACCCGCAAGGGGTATATCTTTCCAGTCGAAAGAGGTTGGTGATCGCGAAGATCTACTCGACCAGGAACGACAGAGGGCGTATACTGCTTATCAGAACAGCAATCTACTCTCTACTGGATTTCCGAACGACCCCGAAGCCGCCAACACTGGCGCGGGCGTAGGCAGGAAGAAGAGCCTGGTTAGGCCCGACCGCGAAAAGATAGAGCCTGGGCATCGCCTCTACCACTATCGCAATCATGCTGTGCAGATGGAGGATGAGGGAGGTGGGATTGCTATGCCTTCCAGTACGTCTCCACTTATGTGGTGTTGGTGGTTCTGATCCAATGATCCCCCGCAGCTACCGGCAACGTTCCTCGTGAACAATTGCGAAGAGGCAAGTCACTTCTTGGACGAGAAGAGGATGTGCACGAGTCTGGGCTGGCTCTTTTCAAGCGTGGAACGACTCTGCGTCGGAAGCAGGCTAAACCCGTACAACCTGAACCGAAGAGGAGCTGTATGGATGCGCTAGGACCAGGACCAAAGGGCCCTTGGTTCATGTATTGTTTTATACTCACTTTGCTTGTTCCAACACCCCTCCTCAGAGCATGCGGTAGGTTTCTTCCTCGTAGGTCAGTTCCCAGCCTTACGAATCTTCTGCAGGAATTCGTACCCCCGAGCAGATTCGAGCTTGGCGTGAGAAGATGGGTCTTATGGGTATCATTGCTATTCTAATGTGCGCTGTCGGCTTCATTACCTTCGGCTTCACGCGCACGGTGTGCGGTACACCTGCAAACCGGTATCATGCTGGTGATATTGAAGCGGCATCGGCGGTCATACATGGCTATGACTACGATTTCAACTCGTTCAAACATCCCGCTGTTGGAAACTTCAACGGAGACACGAATCCAATATACGTGGGCGGTTGGAATGCTGCGGGTGCGGACTTGTCGTTCATGTTTCAGAACACAGGCGGCGCTTGCTCCGGGTATATCACGAAGTCAAGCAACTCGCTGATAAACGGGAGCACCAGCGATCCCGAATGGTACTTTCCGTGCAATATTTTCGGATTGAACGATACGACGGTTGTTAATGCAACAAACTATAATACTTCGACGACATGTCATCTCTCCTCGACGGCTAGATCACAGTTAGCCTCGATGACACCCATGGGTCAAGTCTATTACACCTGGCAAGACGTCGCGAATTCGTCACGGAATCTTGTGGTCTACGAGTCGTACGTTTCTCAATCTAGTCATGTGGCTTCTTAACTAATTTCTCTCTCTCTCTCGCAGGTCTGTTTTTGATCTTGACCTTTTGCGATGGCTGAACACCGACGAAGTCGATTATCCGGCTGTATTTGACGAGCTCAAAGTAGGAGATGGGACCTACAATGGCAAGGACTTGTCTATGTATTTCGCCCGCACAAATCAACTTGGACTCGCAAAATGTTTAGAGCAAATTGTCATGGTCGGGTTCATCGACACGAACACGATCGGTTGTGTGGCTTCCCAGGTTGTGCTCTATGTGTCCTTGATATTCATCATCGGCGTCGTCGGGATTCGCTTTGCCATCGCCATGTTCTTCTTCTGGTTCATCTCCGCCAAAGTTGGAAATTATGGCAATGAGACATACCAGCAGCGCCGTGCCCGTATGAGGGAGATAGAAGACTGGACAAATGATATATACAAGCCTGCTCCTAGTGGATACCGGCCGAATGTCTACAAGAATGGCGTGCAGAAGAATGCCAAGCGGCGTACCTTCCTCCCAAGCACGTCACGATTTACTCCGGCAGAACCGCTCAAGGGTGCTATGGGCAGCAGGGCCTCAGCGGCGTATGGCATGTTAGAGCCGATACCATATAATTTGAAGAAGCCAGGAAGCGTGTATGCATCATCGAGTGGCAAGACACTCTCGAAGTTGGTCCCCCCCGACACGCCCGGTTATCGTAATTCACGAAGCTCGGTCTCACTCGCTGTGGACGGAACTCGCAGTCTCTTCGCGGACAATCCTTGCCCCTTCCCGTTACATAACGTGGTTCCCCAGCCGCCACCTGACTACGAGCCCTTCAACTTCCCGCTTGCGCACACCATATGCTTAGTTACCGCGTACTCTGAATCTGTGGAAGGTCTGCGTACGACGCTTGATTCTCTAGCGACGACCGATTACCCGAACAGTCACAAACTGATCCTCATCGTCGCGGACGGTATGGTTAAAGGTGCTGGTAACTCGATGACTACTCCGGAAATTTGTCTGTCAATGATGAAGGAATTTATCATTGCTCCGGAGGAAGTTGAAGCACACTCCTACGTGGCCATTGCGGATGGCCACAAACGACACAACATGGCGAAGGTCTATGCGGGTTTCTATGACTACGACGATGCGACCATCGAGCGTAGCAAGCAGCAACGGGTGCCAGTTATTGTCGTTGCCAAAGTCGGTAATCCTCTCGAAGCTAACGATGCAAAGCCGGGTAACAGAGGCAAGCGTGACTCGCAAATCGTCCTGATGTCATTCTTGCAGAAGGTGATGTTTGATGAGCGTATGACGACGTTCGAGTATGAATTCTTTAACTCGATCTGGCGGGTCACTGGAATCAGCCCTGATCGTTTCGAACTGGTACTGTGCGTCGATGCCGACACGAAGGTCTTCCCGGACTCTGTCAGTCGACTGGTAGCCTGCATGGTACAGGACTATGAGGTGATGGGTATCTGTGGTGAGACGAAGATCGCTAACAAGTCGGAGACCTGGGTCACGATGATTCAAGGTGAGAATACTTCTTTCTAGCCGTGTATGTGTCAAACTTATCGTTCCAACAGTGTTCGAGTACTTCATTTCCCACCACATGACTAAAGCCTTCGAGTCGACTTTCGGCTCCGTTACTTGTTTGCCCGGCTGTTTCAGTATGTATCGCATCAAGGCACCGAAGGGCGACTCTGGCTATTGGGTGCCTATCCTCGCAAACCCTGATATCATAGAGCATTATTCGGAGAACGTCGTAGATACCCTGCACAAGAAGAATCTGCTTTTGCTTGGAGAAGATCGTTATCTCACTACGTTACTTCTGAAGACCTTCCCGAAGCGAAAGAACGTTTTCTGTGCTTCTGCCGTGTGCAAGACCATCGCCCCGGATACATTCAAGATCCTTTTATCTCAGCGTCGACGATGGATCAATTCAACGGTGCATAACCTTTACGAGCTTGTTCAGGTTCGCGACATGTGCGGCACTTTCTGCTTCTCGATGCAGTTCGTTACCGGAATGGAACTGATTGGAACGCTCGTCCTTCCCGCCGCCATCTCGTTCACATTATACCTCATCATTGAGTCCATCGTTCCGAACCACCCGAACACCACCATTCCACTCACTTTGCTCGCGATCATTCTTGGTTTGCCAGGTGTCTTAATTGTAGTAACCTCATTCAAGGTCACCTACATCGGCTGGATGGTCATATACCTGCTTTCGTTGCCGATATGGAACGGTATTCTTCCGGCGTACTCATATTGGCATTTTGATGACTTCTCGTGGGGACAAACACGAATGGTTGCGGGCGAGAAGGCCCACGATAATCATGGAGACAAAGAGGGCGAGTTCGACTCTTCGCATATCGTCATGAAGCGGTGGGTCGAGTTTGAGCGCGAGAGGCGGTGGAAGAGCGGCAGTCAATCGCGGGATTCGACAGTCTTCGACTACCGTTCCTATTCCCCCAAGAGGTATGTATCAAGTTTTCATTAGCGTACAAAGCTGACTCTCATTTTGTGCAGGAGCGATAGCAGGCGACCGTCATTGTCTTCAACCGATTACCAGGTTCAACAACAGATCGACTCTGATACTAATGAGTCGTCTGGCGCTCCTCCGCCCCGGCCGCGAAAGGACACTAACCAACTGCTCATGCTTCCGGCGCCGTTGTCTGTTAACCGTAACGTTGGGACTGCGACTACAGCTTCTGTGTCTACATCTGGTGTTTCTCGTTCCAGCGAGGAGGGAAACACTTCAGAATTCGGCTCGTCCTCGCACAAACTTGTTCCTCAAGACTTCCAAGAAGAATATGCCTCTGGTTCCTATTCCCCGCCGTCGACCGCACAACAATACCGCCAACAGTTTAATCAGCAATCACATCAACAGTTTCCTCAGCAGCAGCCATACTCCCCCCAGTCTGCCTCTTTCGACGCGCGCATCTCTCGAGCAGCTAGTTCCAATAACGGCGCGCTCCGTCAGTCGACCGTGCCAAGCCAATATCCAGGAGAGACTTTCAACCCTTACAGTTATACAGGTAGTGGCTACATCGACGAGCCTCAGATTCCATTTGTGTCAAGTGATCCTGAGGAAATGCCTTCACCTCCGCGTCCAGCGCCTACACGGTCGCGTGGGGTCAGCCTTGCGGATAACGGGCCCACCCCTGGACCAGGAGCTGTACGACGGGTGTCGAGACAGGCCCGGCGAACATCGACCCAGCCACCACCGCAGAACCGCTACTCGCGCTCGTCGATTACGCCGTACGGTAACCTCCCACCTGGTGCCGCTCCTCCGCAGTCTGGCCCTGGCTATTGAACTTGCTTAACCATGACGATCGATAGACATTCTCTCGTACAGCCACGGATGTAATAATGCCTTTCCTCTTTCATTGCTCGCTCCCTTGAGCGTTGTTTATGCAGTTTGATGGACATCGATTGACTTTGACTTCTACGATACATGACTCTGCCTACGCATGGTCTCCCGCTAGGAGCGTCGCCGTACCTGCACAGTTTCTCGTATCCTACGTTGTTTTCTTAGTACGGACTGTAATTGCGAGATGTGACACTTTGGGTAGACGGGTATGCTTCGCTACGGTTGCACAAACGACGTTGTAATGTTGTAATGTAACGCATGGACTCTATACCAAGATATTTGTGGGTGCGGCACATGCGTCTTGTCAGCGACAAGTCTTCTCGCAAGGATTCACTTCCTCACTTTCCGTCAAAGCAATAAGAGTGATATATTATGCGCGCAGTAAGGGCCCCTACGTCGTTCGACTCCCCTCACCCCCCCTTTCCTGCTGAACATACGTCGAAAATGGTGAAATCCAAAGACGAGGTCATCGCCCAGTTCAACGAGGTGGTCAACATGCCGGCAGAGGAGTTGCAGGCGTGGCTGGATGACCCCAAGAGCAAAAAGGCAGGCACCGGAGTCGGCATAGAGAGCGGACACAAGATCGTTGAGATATTAAAGAAAAATCCAGAGAAGGACCCAGAACAATACGACGAGGTGCGAGGAACGATGGTATGGACTGAAATGGGCAGCGACTGATGCACGCTCGACAGGAGGACATTGAGCATATGAGAAAGGTCGTCGCGTGAGTGCACGACGAGCAATACAGCATGTAACTAGAAACCGACGGGGATTCGCGAGGTAGGTATAGCAGTCGGCACCTAGCGCAAGAAGATCATTTGAAAGAAACAAAGACCAAAACAGAGCTGGAGGATGCGAAGAGCACGATCAGGTTTGTGCTGCCTCGGTTGCACAGAACGACCCGCTTACATTATAGAATTTTGCAGCCTGAAAAACTGGGGGCATGTGAGTAAATTCATGCTGGATTGTGACGCGTCCGAAGTTCATATTTCCTCCTAGGACCCGGTAAAAACTCTAGACAGGGTCAAGTCTCCGACTCAGACTCCCGAGAGCAACGAGGAGGCCGTAGACGAGGACAAGCAGTCCGAATCCGAACCCACGAATGGAGCTGCTAAGCGTAAGTTCGACGAGCGAGAAGATAGTGCTGTCGAGAATGGGGTAGAAGAATATGAGGAGGCGGATGATGAGGGTCGGGATCGGAAAAAGTCAAAGACCGCAGAATCAGAGACGGAAGAAACGCCGGCCGAGGAAGGAGATGGCAGCGATGTTGTAGAATGAGAGGTTCGTGAAAAGTGAGTCACAATTGTGTATCGTTCTCGAATGCATTTTCTACGACTCCGAATTCATGATTCTGTCTACATAAGCTAGGCCTTCGTGGATAATCAAAGTCTGAGAAAAGAAGAAAAGAAGAAAAGAAAAAGAAATAGATGTATCATCGTGTTGTCCGAAGAAATCATACGTACTGTTCCAGTTTTTATGTGCTTTTTGAGGAGCTGCGTAACGGGGTCACTGGCATGGGTAAACGTGATGCCAGCCGGAGGCTGAGGGGCAGGCGGATAAGCCTGTGACCAATCTCTTTGTATTCCTTGGCATAGGTCAAATTCCAGAGGAGAACAGTTGAACGCACGGCAATGCTCTTGAGCTATATGTAGTCCGACTCGGTCAGGGCATCCAGGAAAGTTGTAGCGACTGCAATCGCTCGCTCAGGCTTTGGGCGACGAAGATTGAAGAATGTTATCAACATGGGTCGATCGTGTAACTCCTGATTGCGTGGACCCGGGACAGGAACTAGATCTTGTCCCATCCGGCCTCCAAGCCAGACGATACTGCCGACTTTGCACTGTGTGCGGTATAGTAAATTTAAACAAGAAAAGGATATACCCTCGTCAATCAAAACGCCTGCTAGTAGGACATGGATGATTGCAGCTCGCACAGCTTCGCTGTTGAAACGTTGAAACTCCAACCTACTCATCTAAGTACAATTCCGGGTGGTTCAACTGTTAGGTATGTCGAATGCCTTCAGTGCAAACGGCGGTTGGATCATGTTGCTGGAACTGAACAACAGTGAGTGAACATATCACCGGGGATACCGGAGTCCGGGCGCCGGCATACTACGTTTCGCGCCACAGCCGTGAGAGCGGTATGTACCATCCATGGGTGAATGGCCTATACGCATGTCACTACAATACCAGTACCCCAATAGCCTCAGCTTCACACGACTGATACAGCATGATTTTTCCAGTTCAAATTCAACACTGACGAATATTCGTTAGGATGGTGGATCACAATCCTCCTCAGTGAGGCACCTGACGCCGAAACCACCCGGGATCGCTGCACCTGCTGAAATTTGCGGGCCAGTTGTCAAATGTCTCGTGGTGCACTGAAGATGTTGGACATCCAGAACGGCGCCGTTGAGCTTCCAGCCATCAAATCGTCCATCCATTGCGGCTATGGGATGGTAGCAGTTCCCCATAAATCGGACCCACTCCTCGTCCTTCCAGTCAATGCTTTCGGAATTTCGACTACATTCTTTTGTTTCTCCAAGAAATCCAAAGAATGGATATACAAGTATGGGCAAATGACTGACCTTCAGGCTTCTTTACCATTCTGATCATCATAATGATTGTACAAGTAGACCGCAAATCTCAGAGATCGACGAGCCTCTGTCGAGCTCATCCCAATCCCACTCTGACGCTGCAGCAAATGAAGCAGTGCTCTTGTGCTGCAACCAGATTGTCACTGCAATCAGCGCACGTCTTTTTGCTGTCCCCCAATCTGAATCAGATGGGCAGCGTCCGCTTCCGGGTACACAAAAGGAGCTCAAGAATATCAAGATGATGCTCAAACGTTTGTCATCTACGCGCGTCTCACTTTTGATGTCCAATGAGTCTGTGGAAGATGTACTGGCCGGGATGAAGCTGACCGATATCATCAATTTGCTGCGTCGACGTGGAGGATTTGCATTCCTTTCCGTGTGCCAGACTGCTGCGGATGATCAAGAGCATGAAGAGTCCGTTCATCTCGCTGCGGGCATGCTCCTTGCTAGATATGGCGCGATTTCCACGATGTGGTCGATACAGAACAGTGACGCGCCTGAGGTGGCAAAAAACCGTACGGACAGCTGTTCCAGGATGCACCTCGCCGGACTACAGGCAGGCCACACGGGCACTACACTAGGCTCTGTCGGACGCGTTATGCGATTTTTATGTCTTGGGTTCCTTTCGTACACATCGGCCGTAAATCATTTTCCCGCATCATTTCTGGCTTGTCATAATTTGCGGCTACTCGTTCTAAGTTCGGATTCAACTGTCTTCAGGCTGCACGTATCGTCCGGCCATTCCAAGAAACACTTATCCTAGCGGGTGCGGTGACAAGGTGAATATCGTGTTAAGAACTCCTGCAGCATCTCCGACTATACGCTGTCGCAACGATCACACTTGACTCCGCCACGAATGACACCCGAATCCACCTACTTGAATCCAGATGAAGAGCTCTAGGATGAACAATCACGTCGAGAACTATGAAAACAGCTCAGCGGGTTGATACCAGGGAGCAACGACTGCCTTATTCGGATTCGCCGGCTGAACGGGAATTAGAGCAGGGCGACGCTCAATTCCCGGTAGGATTCCGGGGTTAACGTGCACTTCTGGAGTATAAAAGCGGGTCAGCAAGACGGTGGAATGGTATCAATCATCCGCATATTTGACTTTCGCTTTCCTACGCTGGAAATGTCTTTTGCCAAATACCCCACCCGTCAGCTCGGTCGTGATGGACCTATCGTCAGTGCCATTGGATATGGTACCATGGGTGAGTCCCTCTGCCCAGTATGATTTTTTTTCAGCTTACTGGGCCGCCATGTCAGGCATCGGCGCATTCTACGGAAAGACGGACGACGAGGAAGCATTGAGGACACTCACCTACGCCGCTGACCGCGGTGTCACATTCTGGGATACTGCAGACATTTACGGAAATTGTACGCCGTGTTTCCTGTCGAGCCTGTCCGCCAATAGAGCCAGGGACGCTGATCTGCGCCCACTCCCAGGCGAGTCTGTCCTCGGAAAATGGTTCAAGGCCACCGGGCGACGCTCAGAGATCTTTCTCGCGACCAAGTTCGGATCCATGGATTTGACTCCCGGAGTGGAGAACATATATAAGCCCAACAGCAAGCCCACATACATCAGGCGCCAGCTAGAGAACTCGCTCAAGGAATTGCAGACGGACTATATCGACCTGTACTATCAGCACCGTATGGACTATGATGTGCCAATCGAAGGTGCGCACCGAGATTTCTGGTCGCTTACGGAATTCCTTCTAATCGTCTATTTTGTGAGAAGTGGTGCTCCAGACATTACGTCCGTACTTTGCGAGCGGTAAAATCAAGTACTTTGGGCTGAGCGAATGCAGCATCGACGTCTTGAGGCGCGCAAAGGCTGTTCCGGGAGTAGGCAAGAAGGTGGTTGTATGCCAGATGGAATACAGTCCATTCACACTCGAGATTGAAACTTCTGGCTTTGTCGAGGCGGCCCGTGAACTTGGAGTCAGCGTTGTCGCATACTCTCCTTTGGGGCGAGGTACGTCAAGGTGTTCCCTGTCTCATATCTCTTTTTTGATCAGAATACCTAGGGCTGATCAGTGGAGAGTACGTATGCTTACCGGTGGTCTGAGAGCACGACGCACTAATAGGGTCATTCACGCAGATACAAGTCCCCGAAAGATTTTGCAGAGGACGACGTGCGGCGCTTGCTGCCCCGTTTTAGCGAGGAGAATTTTCCCAAAAATCTTTCCCTCGCCGACAAGTTCAGCGAGATCGCGGCAAAGTACGGTGCTACGTCATCGCAGCTGGCACTCGCGTGGATCCTCGCGGAGCACCCTGACTTCATTCCCATCCCTGGTACGCGGTCTGTGCGCAGGTTTGAGGAAAATGCGAAGGCAGCGGAGATCCAGTTGAAAGAAGAGGATGTGAAGGCGCTCAGGACAGCGGTGAATGAAGCAGATGTGCAGGGCGCGCGCTACCCGGATGTATTCAACAATGGGCAGGAAGATTGCATCCTGCTTAGTGAGTGGAAGGGGGAACAGTGAGGATATTGGTACGATTTTGTGCTATTGAAGACATTGATGTTATGCACTAGTGTGCTAGTAGCGTTGAGAAATGATCTTGTCCAATACACAGTACCTGATTTGTATGCATATATATAGTACAGATCTAATGACAACTGTCTCAAGGCTGCTATAGGTGATCACAATTCGAAAATGATGGTGGTTGAAAGGAGAATGGTGCATAAAGCTCTTTCTATTCAATCCCTTGTCATCCATTCCAGAGGTTGTCTGATGCATAGACACGAAATTCATTGACCTGTATTACGACGCGTCAACGCATAGATTAGCTAGCATAATACGTGCATTAGATGCAGATAAGCATACATGGTAAGTACTTCACATAAATGTAGTGACGGACCGATGTTTCAGAATCTAGCATGAAACCTCGCGCCTCCATCGTACCTGTACCGCTAGAAATTGCAACCGCGTTCGTGCTACTGCTTGTAACTTGCTGCAGTATTGCTATAGCGCCCTACCATGTTCCAATTGGCCCAGCGGCCTTGATAGTGTGTTATTCGTGACTTCGATGTCATATCCTTCCGGCGTTGACTAGTCGTTGTACAGAGCGTAGTTCAGTGGGAAATCGGTAACAATGTAGACAACTCGTGTACGAGAACTTCCGGAGCCATGCCAAGAGAATTTCGATCACTGGAATGTACACATGTATAGCGGGCCACACTCATGAAGTCCGTATGGAACGTCTCCACAAAGGCTGATGCAGACGGAGATCCCTCAAGTCCGTGCCCGTTATCAATGACAATATGGACATTAGATGGGAGGATCAAGGAGCCTTCTTCAGTGATGAATGTCGCAATGGACGGAATCTGTGGTTACAAGCCAATTCCAAGTGCATTCAGAGTGAGTCATGACCAAGCCAAAAACCAAGAGAGAGACGATTGCGATTAACAAGGCAAAAGCGGCATCGGGACAGCGAACTGACCTTGGAAAGTAATGTGGAATTGCTGTGTGAGCAGCTTGTGCGCTAGTACTAAGGAAGTTGCAATGCTGGCTAAAAGACGGACGCTATAAAGCAAAGCCGCCCGCGACCTCTATG